GTTATTGAAGTCATATTTGTGGTCTACCATGAGTCAAGTAAGGCTAAACAAGTTAGCAATTTTGAGTATCGAAAGTAAATTTTCAGCGAATTTTGAATATTAAAAAGTAATTGATATTTTTGCTTCAATAAGTGCACGAAGACATCGTTTTAGGTGATATATTTATATTTTGTAATTTGGTGTTTTGGTTTTTATGTCCCCCTTTGTATTATTCATTTTAATTAATAAAATTCGGCGTATGGTTGAGCTGCCTAGCTTGACTAAGTTCCAAACTCTTTAGTAAAATCGTATCTTTCGTCATTTCATTTGCTTAAAAAATAGGCATCAGAACATTTTTTTTAACATCTTCTGACATGGCATCAAAAACCTCAGAAACGGCTTAGTAGTCATATTATTTTACATAAATATTTTAAGACTTTTTTATTATTTATTTTGTTCTAATAGATTTATTATAACGTTTTAACAACTAAATGAAAATTTTAACCAAATGGCCTTTGAGCTAGCGGTATGTGAGTCTTTTGCTTCCTAAAAGACCAGAGGTTCAAATCTTACCAAAGGTGAGAAGGATGTATAAATTTATTTGTTATATTTTTCTTGTATAAATATTATCTACTTCAAGAAAAATTCAACATTCCAAATAAAATTTTCATAAATCTTTTTTTTTATTAAATAGTTCTGTCATGTCACCAACCTCTGACCTTTTCTTTTCTTTTCTAAAACTACACTTGACTTTTCATATTCAGCCCATAGAAATACAAAACGTAAAAATATAAGAAATAATAAAAATAAAAAAAGGTAGACAAAATAAAAATATAAATCGAATGATCGTGTGAGAAAGATAATTAAGGTGATAATCGTAAGAAGGGATCTGAATCCGTGATCACCTTTAATCTCTAACCCACTAATGAATCATGTTTGATAACGGGATTGGTCTGGTGCATCTCATCCTAATGTGCATATAAGGGTGGAGATCTCTTATTACGCTTCTCACCTTAACTATTTTTCTCGATGGAATCCAACTTATGATATAATTGTTAAAATAAAGTAGTTACCGGATGTAATTTTTTAGAGATTTTATTTTTGATACTCTATTTTTAAAAAAAATTATAGCATAGCTCTTGGAAATGCTCTTAGAACATCTCCAATAGCTATGTTGTTTTATAATCTTAGAGATTTGAAAAAAGTTTGTGCAACTAAGGTTTTGAGGATATCAGTATTGATAAGATTGAAAATACTGGTGCTATAGTAGTATTTATATAAGATTTTTTTTTGAATTATAAAACAAGTGGGCTATTCTTTGCAAAATTGTGCAATATTTACAGACAAAAGTATTCGGGGTTACTGGGATCGTGATGGAGGACGTAGCTTACGATCATCGGCTTTGATCATTCCACTAGGCATCTGATTAGGACATTGCACTGCTAAACTCTTATCTGAAATAGAAAAAAAAAAGAATGAATCTTTTTCCAAATTTGGAAGAACAGAGAGAAAATATAACATATTTGTTAGAAATATCCTTACAATATCTTGAATCTTTTTCAAGCAGATGTACAAAATAATAAGTATACTACAAAATAAAACTTAATATTAATTATAAAAGTACGGTTTCATTATAAATGACATATCATGGCTGTTTGCAATACTTAGGTGTCGTTTACCTAAATGCTTACCCGGTAAGTGCTTACCGATAGAATTCAACATTATATTTATTTTGATACATAAGATTTTAGTACATCAAAACATATTGAATGCAACAAGTTACTGGGTAAGAGTCGTCATTCTTACTTACTGGGTAAGACTCTCTATGCTTTTCATTGCTCTTACCAGGTAAGATTCTTGGCATTTCTCATGTTCATCCGATAAGGAAATTTACCCGGTAAGCACTTACCAAGTAAGTGTTTAGTAAACGGCTCCTTAATTAGATTTCTTTTTCTCTTTTCTACATTTTTCCAAAATATAAAAAGTGGTAAAAGGGATATGAACTTGCAACATACAATACGACCACGTAATGATTTATCAGTAGGTTGTAACCACTTTTTATTAACTTAAGGAAAAACATATCAATTTAAAGCAGGTATGCCTCTAAAACTTCTAAATGTTCGTTCATTATGTCGGGAAGGTAGAGCGGGTTCGCATACACCTCGGGACTTCTTAACGGGTTGAATCATGTATAGCAGTTCTCTCATTTTAATTTGCAATACCAAAAAACACTTTGATTATTTGCTTTTGTAATACATATTCTTACATGAAAATGGAATATTAAAGATCAATTATTTATGAAGTTGTTATTGTACCAAGTTATATATATATATATATATATATATATATATATTAATCAATTATAATTGGTATGTGAAATTTTATATTGTATACTAATCAACTATACTTTTTTTTATTAACCTGGATATCCAACCCGCTATACGAGCGGACTAATCCCAGTGCGACCACCTGCTTTGCAGATAGTCCGAAGTCACCGCAATAGAACCTCCGTGGCCACAAAAAGGGATTTTTATTCCTTATTGGATTTGAACTTGTGACCTCCTGGTACTTTTGACCTTTGAAGCCAAGCTCAAGCCAATCAGACTCCACCCTTATGGTTTACTAATCAACTATACTTGATACCAATTTAACTAGTATCAATATTTTTCGGGTTGGTACTGGTTTTATAACAACTTTAAGTTACATATATGAAAACTTGTCATTTTATTCAAATTTTGAGTTTTCAAATAACACATGAGATGTTTAACGGTTTTTAATGCAAAGAAAAAAACTTGTAAATTCAAATATTCAAATAAAAGTGATTTTTCATATTTCTAAATTTATAATAATATTTTAGATTTATTGATGCTGGTAATAAACAACAGCGCCTGTAGCTCAGTGGATAGAGCGTCTGTTTCCTAAGCAGAAGGTCGTAGGTTCGACCCCTACCTGGCGCGAACCCTATGGTTTGCTAAAATTTTGTTTTTGGTCCCTATGGTTTGCTAAAATTTTGTTTTTGGTCCCTATGGTTTGCTAAAATTTTGTTTTTGGTCCCTATGGTTTGCTGAAGTTTGTCTAAACGATGAAAGAGATACTTAATTGTAAAACACGGAGACGAAAAACGTAATTTAAAGAACAAAGAAGCTAAACCCAGAATTTTGTAACAAATCATAAGGACGAAAAGCACACAGTTTACTCGTTTATTTTAATACGGGAAAAAAATTCAAAGGAATCCAACATACGTTATAAAAAAAATTAGTTATAAAATATGAGACGTGGGCCCAAAGATAATCGGGAGCAGTATTCTTTATATTAGATCTGAAATGAAAGAATACTACAGAATATTACAAGTTTAGTTTGTAAAAATAACTTATATAAAAGGAGTCTGTTATTTCAACGATCGTAAAAATACTGATTAAATCACTAGTTTTTCATTCTAAAGGAGTTGGAAAAACCATATGAAGGATATTAAATAAAGGTAAATATAAAGTTTCGTTGGTCATCGAATGTGATGACGTTAAATAGAAAGTAATTATATAAGGGAAGTGGTTGAATACAATTATATAAATTTTTTTCAACTTTTTAATTCTTATTGATGTATATCAAGAATTAACACATAGAGATACAATGCAGATTGTTGCAGAAGAAGAAAATGATAACCTAACATAAATAATCTTATGCATAAAAGAACTTACAAGAACAACACTAATGAAAAACACTAAGTTTTTCTTTAGACACAGTACAGTAGTGATGGCCAAACCGGCCCGGCCCGATCCGGGATCAGTAAGGACCGGTTATAGGACTAAATTCTGGGACCAGTTATGTACCTGGGGTGTTTCGCGGGACCGGTACCAGTTATGGGACTGCGGCCCGATTTTTTAAAAAATTACCTTTTTTAAAAAAATGTAGCCGTTATTTTTCAAAAAAACTAGCCGTTTATCACCTTTTTTTGGCCTTTTTTTTTTGTATTTTTTGCCTTCTAAACACTATATATAAGTGTCTTGGTTGAGGGGTTTACACACCGGTGAACTTCTGTCTTCCATCGACTAGTCTTCGATTTTGCCAAGAGCTTTAAGTATGTACCAAGAAACCAATGTACAAATAAACCGATAACTACTAAGTGTTGATATGATAGTGAGACATGCCCGGTAGGTTATCACCAAATCAATAGGTGACCCAACAAGTTCATAACACATAAATTTAAAAAACAAAAATATATTTACTTAAATAGAATCATTTTTATAACATCATTTGAAAGCAGAATTCGGAAATTGCCAGATCGGCTAAAGAGTAGAAACCTAAAACATTATAATCGGGTTAAAACATGTATAATTGATCTAGATGTTAAATCCTATTTAAGTGTTGGATTTCAATGAAAATAGAAGTTATGTTGAGAATGATAAGAAATGATCTACACCATTTGATCAATCTTAATTGAAAATCAATTCTAATGCGGTGCACCTAGATACACTGGATCAATTCCCATGATAAACGTAATTCATAGGTGGGGTGAGATTAGAAGAGACCGAAAGTCCAGATTCCTTATTACGCTTCTCACCTTATCTCCTATTCTTACACGATCATTCGTCTCATCAGTTAAAAGTAAAAACATTTGTAATTAGGCCCAAAATTTTTGGAGGCAATTCTTTATATCTCATATTGAAACAACCGTAGATGGCCAAAATCAGTCCCGAGCCGAACCGGTCCCGAATTAGTCCCTTCAAAATCAGGCCGCCCGATCTCGATTAAAAATCCTAGGACCAATATAGGCCTGGTGAATGGTCCTGAGCCGGTCCCGTTCTCTAATCGGGCCTTTGAAATTCCGTAAAATGTGTAATCAGTCTCGAACCCTTGAGCTATAACAAATCAGTCTCAAGCCGGGTCGGACCCAATTTCGCCATCTCTACCGAAACACGACCGTGGTTTTTATACAAAGGGGAAGAGCTGCAAACCATATTCTTCATGTTAGACCTCGATTAAAAAACGTTAGAATGTTAGTTTGTAAAAACGACTTGATTCAGCTAAAGGGCCCCGGAAGACCGAAACTTAACCGGTTTCCTTTGTTCCTTAAGATCTTGTCGTAGCATTTGATACGCGTTCCGATAATGCTCGAGCGTAATACACAACTGTCGCACCGCTTGTCGCTTATCTTCAGCTGCTTCTTCGATCATCTCCTGCTGTTTTTCGATCACCTGCTCGAGTTCTCGACTCCGACACCCCAACTCCTCGATCGACCGGCTTGATTTCTCGTACTGCGATTGAAGTTTCTGCAAACGTTGGTGCATATGCTCGATTTGATCATCTTTCAAACTCATTTCTTCTTCCAAATCACTCACTTTCGCAACTAACCCATCTCTCTCGATCTTCAATTCCTCGATTTCGTCTTCCAATTCGGTTTTCTTGAGTCCCATTTCGTCTTCGATTTCGGTTCTCTTCATCCCCATTTCATGCTGTAATCCCCATTCTTTGATTCTGAACGCTCGTTCTTTCAACAGATTCGTCACCTGGTTTCGAAGCTTCAAGATTTCTTGATCACGTTCCGTTAAACTCGACTTATATCGTGAAATTTGAGCTTCGAGCTTCGAAACATCTCTGTTTTCGCTTTGATCGGAACCATAAACCCTATCGGAATCGTTACATACGGAAGAAGTTTTGGAATCCTTATCATTGGATCGTTGCGATTCGTATTTCTCGGCAAGCTTCAGTTTTAGTTTTCCGATCTGTTCTTCCGATGATCGGAGCTTATCCTTCACAAGACGAAGTTCTTCCTGCAACGATGCAACACCATTTACTTCTTGTATGATCTGAACCCTTCTAAGCTCAGATTCCAATTCGTTGATTCTTCTTCGCAATCGTCTGTAACTGGGATACGTCGATGCACTCGAATAATTAAAAATGGATGAATCATCGGAATCCGATTCCGATTCCATCATCCAATTTTCGTCGCCATCTTTGTTTCCGATGAAATCGAACCCACCGGGTCGAGTTCCGGATAAGCGACGGGTGAGTCGGTTGTCCGTAGGAGAGTGCATTCTAGAAGGTGGTTCAGAACAGAAGTCGGAGATGCCGCCGGAGTTTTGCTTGCGGAGATCCGTCGGAACTGTCCGTTTTACGTCGCCGGGGGCGGGGTTTTCGATACGTTCAGCTAATAATCTGAACATCCCGTAGAAATCTTCGACCTGAGCTACGAGTAATGGTCGCTTCTGGTAATAGATTTCGGCTTTTTTGGCGAATGAATCACCTTCTTCTTCAATCAATTGCAACATCCGTTTCACACTTCGATCCATTTCTGAAATCAAGAACTTTTTGGTCATTCCACGATTCGACATTTTGGCCATTTGGGGTTTGATGGGAAACAATCATTTTTGTTGGTTTTGAATGAAGAGATTACACCATGACAGTATCAAATTGAAGGTTTTTTCAGATTCAGGAAGATGAATGGAGATGGCAAGGTATCATCATCATCATCATCATCATCAATTCATCATCATCATCATCAATTCATCATCATCATCATCATCATCAAAACGGAAAGAAAGAAAGATGTTTGATTTGAGATTCTAATTTTGAAAGAAAGGAAAGTGGTGAGGGATTGATGGAATGGCGATATTGCAGCAGATTTTGCAGATCCTTTAATCCTTTTTTACAAAATATTCTACAACCCGTTAATCTAAATGCTTATCCGGTAAACACTTATCATTAGGAGTTAACACTATAATTTATTTTATCCGGTAAGATTGTAGTACATTAAAATGATATTGTATGCAACAATTTACCCAGTAAACATTTACCCACGAGGTAACACTTACGTTGGGCCTACTTTTTATCTTTGATGCATCAAAAAATGTTAAAAGCCGTAAGAAAAAGTGCTTTATGACGTGGACTAACGGTTATTTATGATAATAAGCCGAGCATATCCAATGGATTTTTGAAGGTTTTCCCCCCATTTTTATGGAAATTGATCAAAATAGTCGTTTTGTATTAACATTTTCAATTTTTAGCCAACCTTTTTCAACTTGATCAAAATACCCAAGATTTCACAAGTGTTTTTTTTATTAACCTGGATATCCAACCCGTTATGTGATCCAACTAATCTCAGGACGACCACCTGCTTTGCACGTAATCCGGAGTCAATCGCATTTGAACCTCCGTGGCCACAAGGGGATTTTTGTTTTTCATTGGATTTGAACTTGGGATCTCATGACACTTTTGACCTTTGGAGCCAAGCTCAAACCAATCAGGCACCACCCTTGTGGTTTAAACAAGTGTTATTTTCATAACTTACGAAACATATTTTTCTGAATTAAATATGATTCTAGTCGTGTCAACTTGTGAAATTTGCTCGAGGACTTGCGGAATGGAGGAGATGGCTTGCAGTTACAATATATCTGTTTAGTTTGCAAAATCTCTTTATTAGCTTGTGAAATTAACCACTAGAATCATTTGTTATTCATAAAAAAGTACTTTTCGTAAGTTGTGAAAAAAGCAATTGCAAAATCTTAGTTATTTTGGTTAAACATAAAAAAATTTGGCTAAAAAGTGAAAATGATCAACTAAAATGGCTAAAGGGCCGTATACCCAAATGCTTACCCGGTAAGTGTTCACAGTAAGAGTCAACACTATAATTTATTTTATCGAATAAGACTGTAGTACATCAAAACGTATCATATGCAACAATTTACCTGGTAAGTGTTTACCCGAGTAAGAGTCGTCATCCTCACTTACCGTGTAAGACTCTTCATCCTTATCATCGCTCTTACCGGGTAAGATTCTTGGTTCTTGTCATGTTCATTCAGTTAGGAAAATTGCCCAGTAAGTACTTATTGGGTAAACGTTTAGTAAACAACCCTTAATTTGGTCAATTTCTTATTTTTTTTTTCTTTCAACAACTATACTAAAATACAAAAAAAAAATTTGAAAAATGCGCAAAATTCTGAATTTGTAGTTGTTAGAGTTGAATGTAATTATTTTTAAACATTTTGATTTTAAAATAATTTTGAATTATAACATAGTTGTTTGAGATGCTCTTAGATCTCAAAGTAAAAACAGATTTTTGCATATTTTTCAGAGGAGTTGGGTCCGTAAATAACACTCATTTTCATGCGAAAAGTATGTAACATGTGTTTTATATGAAACTATTGAATATAATTTTATATTATGGACGTTGAAGTTACCACATTCACGGTAAATATTCAATACACATTTTTAAGTGCACATGAAGGTTACCGCCTTCACAAAATATAACGTAGCATTTATTATTTCATGTATCTCACGAAAATAAAAAAATTCTCACGTGACTTAAAGTCTTTATAAAAATCTAAATCTTTTTTTTCCCCCTGAAAAAACAACAGGAAAATATATATATTAAAAACCAATACAAGTATAACAGGAAACCAACTGAAATTGTCGAATTGACTGTTGATAAAAGTGTTCAGATCCGAGAGAGATTGAAGTTCGCTCAGGACAGATAAAAGAGTTACGCGGATAGAAGGCGTAAGGACATCAAATTCCAAGTCGGGGACAATGTGATGCTAAAAATATCTCTATGGAAGAGAGTGGTGTGTTTCGGAAAGAAGGGTGAGCTTACGTTATATTGGGTTGTTTGCAATTATCGAACAAGTCGGAGAAGTGGCGTATAAAATTGGATCTACCTCACCAGTTGCGGGATATTTGTTTTACGTCTCGAATTTAAGGAAACGTTTGTCGGAGGTCGATATGGCAATACCTTTGCAGGAGGTGCAAATAGAAGAGAAACAAAGAAATTGGTCGCGTAAAGGTGCAATGGTGATTTCGTAGGGGTCAAGAGGCAAATTGGGAGTTCCAGTTGGAGATGAGATCCAAATTTCCGCATTGTTTGCCGATGGAATTCACGGGGACGGAATTCATTTAAGGAGGAGGTATTGTAATAGCCCTCACCTTCCTATTTGGTAATTTACAAGCGTCTAGAGGTGTGGGTGTAAACTTCTGTGTCTTTCAGAGACTGATTCGGTAAATAAGKAAATAAAGGGAGTAATCCCTCGTTTCCTCCTCATTTGGTGTTGACGGCTTTAGAGAGCATTAGAGAGAAAAGAGAAATATGAGTATGTGGTTCTCTCGAAACTTTTGGGCGTGATTTTAGTTACGACACAAGTCATGTCAGACATTGTTTCATGCCTCGTCAATTTTTCTTCGTTTCTTGTTTCAGGATAGGTTCGAGGCTTTGTTTTAGGGGATTTCTTTATAGATATTAATAAGTTTTTTTTAGATGTTTAAGGTGGTTTAACACCATTTTTATGTTGGTTAATTCAGGCATTTGGTTTAAGCTTATTTAGTCATTAGGCTTGTGGTGAGGTGCGGGGCATTAGGTTAGTTCTCTTATATTGATTTTATGAACTTGTGATCATTCATAAATGATTTTAAGCACCGATTATGGTTTTACACATTGATGGCTTTATTGTAAATTTTACCATATTGTACCTTTTGGTATTGTTGAGCTATATGTGGTTATGTGGGGGTATGTGGAACTGCATAATGGGCGTAGGGTACCTTGAGATAGCAATATCTCTTGGGAGTGATCATCTGTGCGTGTTGAATTTCTTTCTAACGTACATTGGATAGACATCTACTGGGGCCTTGATTGAACGTCACAAGGGTGTGATGGTGTGGCTACAAACGCTCTGCAATGTTCGTATGATGGGAATATGCTTTGATATTTGTTATGGTATTTCCATAAGTGACATTTCATTATTGTAAAATGTTTTGAATGCCGAAGTTCTATCCAAGGGAATTCACTAGATCTTTTGCTCTAATACTGGTTTTTCAAAACTACAAAAACTTAAAGTGATATCTCTAAATAATCAGTTTTTAAATATTTAATGTTTTAGTGACTAAAGGATTTGGTTTATGAAACAAACGTGTCTTGTTTATGTCAAATGTTGAGGGGATATACTAAGGTTATCCCATTGTTTATAGTGAACAAATTGGTGATACCATCGTTTATCTCTTATACCATTTTCCAACTATAAATTCATTCCAAAATCTTTTCCACCAAATTAAATCACATCAAATATGAAGAATTCACAAATGCTTATCTTCATTGGGTTGTTTTTATGGGGTTTCCTTCAAATTCCCAATTCCAATGCATTTAGTAAATACACTCTTTTTACTTCAGTCTTACATATTTAGTTATCATTTTTACAGTATTTTTAATGGAAGGTTCTTATAAATAAAAAATATAATGACTTATACAATCTATCATCAGATAGAGTTTTTATAAATCATCTGTATTTCTACAGTTTATTTACAAGAACCTTGATTCTTGTCTTCAATTTTGTGTAAAATAATATTTTTATTAGTTTTTTTTAATATACTTTTTGAATTTTTTTTATCTGTATGATTGATGTTGAAATAGTATACGAGACCCACGAAGGAGGTTATCATTGATCAGTGTCATTGTGAAGTTTTATAGTAGTTCTTATTTTTATCGAGTTAACAATGATGTGAAAAGAAGTGCAGAAAAGGCTTTTGTGTGTCGAAATGCTCTTATACTAATGGTTCATTTGTTGTTTTATTTCAGGTGAAATCAACCCGATATACAATGTTAATCTTGCACCTTTTATACAACGTCTCAGTGCATACTACTGCCTACAGAATGTAAGTTTTCTCCTTCTTTATACTCGATAAGTGTTTACAGTTCTATTTTAATTTTTAGCCTTACCAACTGATTTTTCATCCTTTCAAACATAAAAGAACACCGTTCTTTATTCATATTTCTGAATCTAATAAGATCTCCAACAAATTCTCCAAAATCAAGAATCAAAATTTAAAACCTTCCAAAAAAATCAGTTCAATTCCAAGAGCTTATCTATTTAATACAATATTATTCACTCTTTCTTAAATAATTAGTTTCAAAATTTCTTATCGATGGGAATACAATAAATAAATGTCTCAATAGTAATCATTTTCGAAGATCCCAAGCCCGTTTTCAGTTGAAAAACAAAACCAGGCCAGGCTATAGGTGCAAAAATAGGCCCGATCAAGTTTTCACAGACAGGTTTTTCCAGGCTTTTTCGGGCTTTAGAAAAAGGTTAGCCTGTTCAGGCTTTAAGCCTGGGCCTGCACCAGACCTTGCTTAGTCTAGGGCCTCTAGGCTCATGCTTGATAGGCTTGAACCTTTTTTAGGCTAAGCCGACTTCAGGCTTGGGTTTTTTATGCATCTAGAGACGTAGAATATCAAGGTCAAAACTTGAGCTACCTTCGAACCCAGACCACCACAGTTGATCTGGTTCTAACTAATCGCCACATGTTTAAGCACCATCTATGGTACACCCACATGGTATTTATTCATTCTCGGGTACCTTTCATATTCGCTCATAAAAGAGACACGATCTATGCAGGTGTCTTCAGATTGCCCGGGAAACTTCACGCTTAAAATAGACGGATGGTTGAACATAAGTGCAAGTGAGACGCTAGCATTTTGTGACGGAGGTTGTGCACAACACACCCAAGCCGTCCTGAAATGTGTTTGGTACGTTAAAGACGACTTCAAGTTTGAGAACAAAGCTACTATCAAGAACCTCAACGACACCATCATCAGCGGATGCGCACAAGGTCTCCCCCCTCTCTTCTCATCCTCGAATAACCAGTGCTTATTACTTAATGTTGGAGTCTCATATCAGTATCAGCTAGACACAAACCACCAATCCTATATAGGGGGTAGATCCACAGCTAGACTAGGGGGGGGGGGGGGGGTCAATTGGCCCCCCTTCAAAACCTGGAAAAAAAAGTTACACTCAAAGAATTTACTCAAAGTTCATTGTTCATGACCCCTGCCAAGATTTCTCCCGAGTTCCGCTCCCCATCACCAAAAAGCTTGGATCCCTCACTCTATAGGGGCTGTTTTAGAGGAGGATTCAAAAGCGTTTCACATATCCTAACATGGTATAGGAGTCCGTCTAGCACCACCTAGGGTGCTTGATATACTCTTTCGCCCCGTTTGAGAGGGCATGTTGGAGTCCTACATTAGCTAGACACAGACCATCAAACGTGCATATATGCAAGAAGTTTCCTTCTCTCTCTATAAGAGCTCTTTAGATAAAAGATTCAAAAGGGTTCCACATATCCTAACATTTAACATGTTTCAAACGACATATATGCTTAAGAAAGACATCTCCCTACGTATGATGGGCCACATGACATGTACTCTAGTATCATGTGTAAGGTGTGTTCTTTTAACACTGCGTTTCGTGCACGGACGAAACTGGACGGTGAGAGTTCGGTTGGCGGTTGAAAGAATTTTGGAAGACTTTAAGGTTTTAGCTTGACATGGATAGTTTAGTAATTTACCAATCTTGTCTCATCTCACTGATTTTTCCACCTATTTTGGTGGGAAAGAAAAAATGCAGTTTTGTCCCACTGAGGTCACGTTTAGTCCAGCCCTATGCTGTCATAGTGGTCAAAATCTTGAAATAGCAGCGATCAGGACCGTGATTTGATATAGCAATTATCGCGATGGTAAAGCGGTCTATAGCGGTCCACAAATAGCGGTTCATATAATAATTACAATCTTTTGTACTATCCTGTGAATTATCCCACGTACCAAATGCACCCTAAGCACTATTCGTCGTTTGGGCACAATAACTAACACTATCATACGGTTCTAACCAACTGCAGGTTTCAGTGGGACAAGCTTGCATCAAGGTAATGGAGGTAGTGGCACAACTACATCAGTCATTACAACACTTTGTGCTATGGCCTTTTTGGCCCTATTTTACATCTAGCATTTGCAATGAGGACCAGTAAGGAATGTCACAGAAGTTAGAAAGTTTGTCATAATCAATAAGCCGACTCTGTTTGATAAAACTACGGCCGATAAAAGTGTATAGACCCAAATAAGAGAAAGTACTACGAGGTGCATCCTCTACGTAATTTGTATTAGTACAAAGCTTATTATGAGATAACACAGTTTAGCACTCAAGAGAATTTTACCTTTTCTGCCATTTGAATGTGTCTTGCATAATACGGTTGTATCCGTCCTCTTTCCATTGAAGAAGTAGATTATTGAGCAAAATTAGGTTCCAGCCTTTCTACGGCCAACACGAGCCACGAAACCAGCCTTGATTTGAGCAACGGATCTCCCAGAACCACACTATGAAGCAAAGAAAGAACCTTTGTCAAAGACTATAAGGTGGCCAAGAATTATGTACAAGTGAGGGAGTAGTGACGTAAAATGATTTCTTATTGCCTATTGATACCAACTTTCCTGGATAAAATAAGTAGCATATAAACAACTCCTTGCGTCCCAAAATAATTATCCACGTTTCTATTTCAGTTTTTCGCAAAATGAGTGTCTTCTTTCAAAAGTAAGTGCCTATTTTTCAATTCTATCCTTAATTACGAGATGGAAAAATTCACAAGTCCCTGTGTTATTAAAGGTAAATCCATTTAGTTAAAGAAAAAGTGTAATAATTACACATTTCTAAATCGGTGTGCCTTTTTTATTGTGAACATTTATTTTGGGACAGGGTGAGTAGAACATTTACAGCATGGAAACTTCTACATTTCTATACCATGGATCTCATATAAACAATTACATGACAGACATAGGCATGTTCTTTCAAGCCTCATATGGGATATAAATATTAGTTCTCGTACAATGGATATCAAGAAAAAAAGGAAGGGGTTCACACCTCGTTAAATTAATAGAACGGCCTTATAATCAATCATTTCAAAAAGCCTATGAAATGTTTAGCCTTCTCTCTCAAAGTAATGGATATACGTAAAACTTTTGTTTGCCACGACACGAGCCTTATCTCTCTTGGTTATAGAATGTTACTAACTCTTAACCTAGTAAAAAAGATCAAAGGAGATCAGCCTAGACAGTAAACAGAAGTGTAGCACCACCGATAATATCCTCCTTGTATAGGGGTCATCTATTTTACCCATGCAACAAGCAAACTAAAAGAAAAATCAGACAGAGTAAAATATAATTCGGTCCCTGTAATTTCTCAATTTTCATGGTTTAGTCCCACAGTTTTCTTATTCCAATTTTCCATTGTGGTTTGCATTTTCACTCGGATTTGGTACTTCCATCTTGGGGTGCTCAAAAACCCGATGAAGCCGACCAACCCAACCCGAATTTTAAAAAAAACCAACCCGAGGTAACCCGATGCATGATCGATAAAAAAATTAGCCAACCCGACCTTATTGGGTTGGAATCGGGTAAGGCCCAAAAAAACCCAACCAACCCGACAACCCGATGAACCAGACCTTAACTTTAGCTTTGAATTGTAGATGACAATCATGACGTGACCAACCTCAACATCAAGAAAGCGAAAGCATCGGGGTTGGAAACGTCTAAAACTATTGTTGTTGATTGATGTATTATCATTTGGTTTAAACATTTTTATTGTAATATCTAAATATTTGATGAACTTGCATGTTATCTTGAATGGTCGGTCGTATTTGAAAGGAAAGTTTCCTTTATTTGTTATGTGATTTTACATTGTTTAAACACAACCCGATCAACTCGAACGGGTTGGGTTGGGTTGAACTTTTGTTTGGATTGGGTTGGGTTGAAAATTTTCAAACCGCCAACATTGGGTTGGGTTGTTAAAACGGCTCCAAACCGATCAATCCGAGCCGTGAGCACCCATCCATCCATTAAATGAGTATTTTGGCCTTTATTTATTTTCCTCTCATTTTCTTTTAAAATAAGAAATGAACAATATTGGTGGAATAGGTAAATCTACGCAGTTTCTTTTCTTGAAACTAAAAAAGCAGATGGTGTAGGAGCATTTCAGATGGTCACAGGCCTTGATGAATAGGTAAACCTAATTCTATCTACATGGCCGTACGATATATAATAGACACCTTCGTCCCAAAATAAATGACACACAAGTTTAGGGATGTGTAATTAGCTAAATGACACCTTTTTCCCCTAAATAATAGAAAGAGAAATTTCTTCCATCTCATAATTAAGGGTAGAATGGGAAAGTGGACACTTACTTTTCAAAGTGGACATTTATTTGGGACAAAGAAAAATATAAATTTGGACACTTATTTTGGGACAGAGGGAGTATGTAATAGTTACAGATAGTTTCTTTATGAATGCATCCAGAATCACATGCCTATAAATGCAGGATAACAGTCGCCCGGGGGGAGGAGATATTAAGTATTGCAATGTACCTTCTCGCATCTGAGAAAGAAAAGACGGTTCTCCTTTGAAAGAATCGTATCTGGGCTCTTGCAACCATTGCAGATGACATACTCATCTGTAAATGAAACTTATCAGCAAAAATGGCTGCATAACTCCATTTTTTAGTGACATGCATACAAGGCATCGTCATGCTCTAATTCTCATTTCCAAGCAACAAAATAGCAATGGAAAACATATCATATGAACTAGCTAAGTGAAGATAAAAACAGCTTCAAAGTCAAACATGGATAAATGAAAGGAAACAAACTTAAATTCCAAACTGTCTTTACTACTGGTATCTGGAGACACAAACGCATGAGTTTCTGACAAGTAACTTACTGACATATCGCCGCAGAATCCCTTCAAAGTTCTTGGGTGCAAATCTACCCTTCACTACCAATCTTTGCTGCCCATCAAGTGATCCACTTGTACCCAATTCAGCAAGCAAGAAAGTCATGGCATGCTCTGGCTGTCTATGCATCCTAGAGAACAAAAAAGAGAGAACTTAGCAATGGAAACTGAAAGCATATTATAAATTCTGATACAATGCATAACAGTGTCAATTAATCTATCGGGCATCCACTGAACCGGAGAGAAATCTCGCCGGGGGGGAGCAGATAAGGGCATCACCATTAACCGTAAACTAAAAAGTCAATAGGTTGGCCATACGATTTGCAAAGATCCATAAAGTTCACAAAAACGGTTTTCTTTGTTCCTTCACGAAGAACTTGTGGCGGCCTCATGACTGTTCTCCTTCTGTCTCCAGCAAGCTCAGGATTGTTCTCACGAAGAATATGGAAGACTCGACCCAGAAGCTGAACAAATTTAGATTACAAGAATTAGTAACTGTACCAACAAAAGGAACAACAAAATGAAACATGGACTTATATTATAGGTGACTCTTAAGATGCAATACCATAAATATATTTGAGCTACAGAATATTGCATACCTCCTCGTACTTGTAATCACGATCTGTCCCTTCCCATGGAAGTTTTTGTTGTTCCAAGACAATTCCTTCTCCTTCCTCGTCCTCTCCAGTAGGATCTAAGGTAACAGAAAAACATCCTCATTTTATCCAAGAGAAAAAGACATATGGAAGGAAATAAGTTAATTAACAGAGCTACTTACAATCTACATCTTCCTCAGCATTTTCTTTGTCATCCTCCAAGAGATCTGTTTGTACCTAAAACAATCATAAGAATCTCACGTTAGGCATTTGCACAGATCTTTCTTTGCACATATCTGTTTGTACCTAAAACTAACCTGTTTCTTCTTCTTCTTTTTCAAACCAGTAAATGTAGGTTCAAGACCTTCAGAGACTGCATACCAAGTTTTGCCCTGATTAGAACTCAATGATAACAAAATCTATAAAGTAAAACATACACAACATAACTTCAGAAAACTCAGAAGGTCAATTAGTTTACCTGATAAGCTCTCAGTTTTCTCAACCAACTGTTCCACAGAATCGTCAGCTGGATCTTGAATGACGACTTTCTTTTTCTTCTTCTTTTTTGTGGGGTCAAATGGTGCTAGCTGCATCAATATATAAAAAATTCAAGTGACAACAGTTACTTGGATTTGGATATGCCATACTAGCAAACTGAACACCCATATTTGTGGGAAAATAAATTATATCAAATACAATACATTTAGACATTCATTGGGACAAGTAGTGTTTAAATTGTATTTTGTTCCCTTGTTAGATATCTACATTGTTAATGACACAACAAGTGTCTTCTTGTGCACACACTCAAGGATGAAAGTAAGTCCCTACAACATTCAATTAAAAGATATACTACGAAGCAGCAATAAAATAAAAAGAAATGTAATACATCTAACAATGAAAAAAACACCAATCCACTTAATTTCTCATCAACAAAATCTCCTTAGTGTGAGCATGATTTGGCAACAGTTTTCAACATTGTACAATTGCAGTTGAATCTTAAATTCGGCTCAAGTGATGAAGCAAAATATGTCCATCCTATAAGCAAATCAAAGAACTGTCTTGCCATTTTATCGCAATTGGATATTATCATCCGATTCTATAATTAACTGAGATTTTATCTTATTTTTATTTTCTACATGGATTTTTCCATGTAGTTTTTTTATCCAAAACTTATTAGCAACCACATTCACATACATGTTTATTGTTTTGTGCTTGTTGAAAGTTGTAAAAATTACTAATGGGGGAAGAGACATCAATTTTGTGAATTAACAGAAGTATATCTTGGTTTAAGATCACTAGAATTCTTTTTGGGTTGTGTGCTAATGCATACAATAAAATAATTTATTACAAAGTTGAAACGGGTTAATGAAATTAGAATAGTGATTCTAGATTCGCCCATGAATTAACACGTCTTAATTCATCATAATCTTCATTTGAAGAAAACAAAATCACTCATTGAGTTCAAACGTAAGAGTAGTTGGTTCAATATTTCACCCTGCTCCAATAAGTGCGTTTCACACATGTTCAGCTTTCAGAAAGTGCATAAGCAGGTTCATCAACAAATAAAACCGCGTGTAAAAAGGGAGTTTCAACAACAACATGTAAGTAGCATAAACTTCAGATCACATGTCTCCTGTCATTACAATCAAAAGAGACCAACATTCATGTATCACAAAGGCACTATAAATATTTGCCAAAGTAACAGCGAAACACATGTCATGAAGAAACAGACATGAAGATGGCAATGAGTCGGTACAACTGCATTACAGCCATCAAATACAAACTAAAAAAAAAAAAGAGAAATAAAACACCAATCGGTACTTACATCCGGGGTTTCATCCTTCACCTCAATTTGATTTCCTTCCTCTGCCATATTTATCAAATCTGAGTGATCTCTGATTCAAAATCCGTCTATTCAACAACAATAAACAGGCGTCAGGAACATGAACATTACATCGTGACAACAAACACAAATGCATTATATTAAACCAATTTCACAGATATACACCAGCCTCAAAACCGTTAATAGCAACATAAATCTGATACAACAATGCTAATCATTCTCACATAAACTTTTCTTCAAAAAGAACATCATAAAATCGAGGTATATCAATGTATATAACACAATATCTATTAATTGAAACACTCGAACTAAAATTCAAATTGAAAAGAACATTGAAAAAATTCTGAAATGAATAAACCAAACAAACACTAGATAAATTTCAGAAAATACATAGCTCTATGCATACGAAGAACCCTAATTTGTTTACTTGGGAAAACGAAATTAACCATAAATTTAACTCACAAACAACAATCAGAATGGAAAATAAACAGCAGAAATTAGCACAGATGAATCTGAGAAAGTTGAATTGATTGGAAGTACCTTCGAGATTGAAGGTTGCAACAGAGGTAACCAAGATTTATCGATACAAGTCGTTTTCTGTAGCTTGTGTTAAACCTACTTTCCTCTGTTGCGGCTCGACGAGTCGCTTGTGGCTTAAACTTTAAATAGTGCCAGGGAAAAAAATTCATTTTTAGTGGTTGTTTGGTAATTGTTGAATGGTTTGGTGTAGAATGATTAAGTGGTCAGAATAATTAAGAGACTCTCATGATATAGTGTAAAATAAAATATAATTGTTTGGCAATTGTGTACAATGAAATTAGGGGAGATCTAGGATAAAAAAATCATTGGGTTTTAAAACCATTAAGAGACATACTTTTTTTTGCCAAACAAGATTCACCTCTTAACGATTCAGATGTTGCTTCTTAATAAAACTATTAAAAGGTGAACAAACAACCTCTTATTTTGGAATATTTTGAAAACAATATTTGGACAAAAAAAGGTTAATTATCAGTAATTTCAACCGATCCTGCATGTAATGTGCCTCCAGAAACACCAATACGAGCAGAGATTTTTTGACTCACTCAGTAGATTAGTCTACTGGGGGCATGAGATTGAACACATGATATATCTTGTATTTAGGGCTGTAAAAAGTAACTGAAACCGAATAACTCATCCTAACCGAATGATATTTGGGTTAAACGGTTTCAGATTATTTGGTTTTTGGGTTAAACGGTTCAGTTAACCGAATAAGGATTCTTATCCGGTTCGATTTTCGGTTAATTTTTTTCTGTAACACATCCTAATAATACTTTATCTATTTCATGTTTATAGAAATAAACCAAATACATATTTACTATTATTATTTTACATATTTTATTGCTATGTAACGTTTTTTGTTTGACGGTAGCTAATGTTTTGTTAGATTACGTTTTTTACTTGATGTAGAACGCCATACAATTTTTCTTTCTCTTTTTAGGATTTTGTGTGGTTCGGGTACCTCCAACAAGAAGAAAACAGCATATTATTACATATAATTCAACCATCAACAATAAGTCCCAATGCAATCTGATGTACGTTGAGAATTCAATGTACAAAACACTCATTTTATAGTTTTTAACTGGTTTATTTTCCTTTCATATATATATATATATATATATATATATATATATATATATATATATATAAATTTGGGATCATGTGAGACCAATGGTTTTTCGTGAGACCCGTAAGACCAATTCTCAACCTTTGGATTAGATCTACAATCGTCAGATCTGAACATTTATAAACGTCATGAGACTTCTCACTAATTACGAAATTGCCACCTTGCAACTTTGCAACCATTAGATCATTAATTCATAAATTTGATCAATGAACATAAATTGGTCTTACGGGTCTCACGAAAAACCATTGGTCTCACGTGAACCCAACCCTATATATATATATATATATATATATATATATATATTCAACTGATACATGTTCTTCGTTGTGTTCAGAATTTATTGTTGTCTATTAGCATGTATCTTAGAATCTATTAAAACATGAAGAAACAAGTGCAAAGAGAAGAAGATGTAACCGTTTTGTTGTGATCATGTTATGTTACTTATCTTGTTTTAAGTACGATGTTATATCAGATAATTTTTTCGTCTCGGTTGTTTAAAAAAATGTAAGAATGTTTTTCAGGTCATATCCCTGACCCATGTTTTTTCAAGACGTATGTTAATTTTTGGTATTTTTAATGTTTATTATCTATCACTTCTCTTCTCTGGACATACGGTGTGACAAAAAAATTCATAACTTACAAGGGTGGTGCCTGATTTTTTTGAACTTGGCTCCAAATGTCAAAAGTATCAGGAGGTCTCAGGTTCAAATCCAAGAAGAAATAAAAATCCCCTTATGGCCACGGAGGTTCAAATGCGGTGACTACGGACTATCTGCAAAGCAGGTTTTGCAGATAGTCCTCCTAATATTAGTCGATCCGCATAGCGGGTTGGATATCCAGGTTAATCGAAAAAATAGTAGCTACAGAAGACAAATGAATCGACAAGGATAGAATAGTTTATCTGGGTAAATAGAGCGCATTTATCCATTTATTTATAAAAAAATTTAAATTTTATCGACCCAAAATTGATCAGTAAAAATACAACGTAATTTGATCGGTCATTTATAATCAAATGTTAATTAGGTCACATTTTTATGTGTTTCATATTACAATCATTGGTTTAATAACAATGTCTGATCATAAAAAATACACACATATCTGTGTACGCTATTATTGTTCATGCAGATATGGATGTGTGTGTTTCATATTTGAAATGTACGGACAATTTTTTCGCATGTGAAATAATCTTGTCTTCTCCTCATATATGAAACGACACTGTATGTTTCATATGTGACTGGTATTCTGATTCTAACACTTTTTTGTTCTGATTTATCCCGTAAGTATACATACACATACAGATATACACACTCATGTATGCATATACATTTACATATACATATAGACAAATATAGGTAGATAGGGACACTAGTGATGAAACGTAACAATAATACATGAGCTTACACTGTCATTGAACAAATTCACGCGTTTTGTCGTACTCATTGCCCCACCTGAAGAATTATTTCTGCAATAGAACAATTTGGTTATCAGATTTCAGATGTCGTTCTAGAAAAGGTCAAAATCCTAAAATCGTGAGTTTTGATTGAACCCAAAGAAATATTGAAGGACGTTGACGTTTTCTACAAATCGATTATGTTGCCTCAAGTTTTAGAACTCTTGGATCCTTCAAGATCCCCTGTGTTAGAGCAGATACAAATCACTTGAATAGGTACGATTTTCTTGATGAATAAAAAAATCTTTTCAAACGCGGTTTAGACGTTTAAAACTTCAAAAGGGGCGTTGACGAGTTCAAATCGGTCCTCGGTCGAGCTAGCCGGTAAAAAGAACGAGCCCAATTCGAAGGGTTAGAATTTCAAAAAGTAGTTGTTTTCAAGTGATTCCAGTAAAAAAAAAATACTCGTCTTTTTGATAAATTTGTTCGATTAAAATTTTTAAGTTAATTTATAATTGAACTGGTTGGTTTGTAAAATGTCAAAACAAGGTTACACGTTTAGCCAAGATTATGCACTTAAAATCAATTGAACCGAACCGAACCGAACCGAACGGTAAACATCTCAAGAATTTGTAATAACCCGTCTTGCGTTGATCATGAATATGACTTACGAGTTTCATGTAAGTTCTTGATAACGAGCTGATAATACCTTTCTAATAGTGTTATAAGTATCATGATCAAAACTGTTATCTACTATATTATTTGGTTTGAAATTTTAATGGTTATTACATTTTTTTTTCTGATTAACCTGGATATCCAACCCGCTATGCGAGCCGACTAATTTCAGGGCAACCACCTGCTTTGCAGATAGCCCGGAGTCACCACATTTGAACCTCCGTGACCACAAATAGATATTTTATTCCTCCTTGGCTATTACATTTTGATCACTTAAGAAGTGGCTAATTACATATCTGACCTTATAAAGTATTTAAAACATGTCAATTTAAAAAGCTTCAACAACACTTGCAATATCCATGGCACATGGGAATTGCAAGGACATGAGATACCTTTACAACCTCCTTTTGTCGCCTTATCAACGCGGTCCATGCCTAAATGGTCGTCTTACTGCATTATTATTGTCATGGCTTGTCGTAGCCTGATCGTGAGGCTGGTCGGGCATCTCAATCGTACATATTTCAGTTATACGTGCGATGGTCGTGCTCTTAAGTAGCATTTTGATGGTTAGGACCCTTTTTTGTTGGGATAAAGGCTATAACCCTCATTTGTGTCTAGTGGTTGGATAATAAATGTATTCCAGTTATTGGAGGGTATGGCTGATGTCTTTGTACTCACTGCAATTGCTTATATTGTAATCTCGATCAATAATAACGTGCGTATTTGGGTTGCACGTTAGACATACATGGCTTCGATGTTCCGATGGGAACGTTTTTCAGAGTATTTTAAGTATGCAACTTTTATAAACATGAATGTGCAGTGTGTTTCTCCATTATCACCATATCCAAAAATGTATTCAACGGTATGACCTATGGTGTACGCGCATTAACATGCCTGTAATAATTTGTGACACAGTATATTCAGTACGTCACAACTGCTTGAGGTAGTTGAACTGGATAGGAAAATGTCGTAATATACTTGTACATAACTACAGATTTTACCGTAGCCCGACATGGAGTTGATGCTAGTAAATACTTTCATCCCACTTTCAGTTTTTGTAGTTAGTAAATATTTTAGTTTTAATGTACAATCATAAACTACGTAACTTTTACTTGGTAGAATAAGATTTTTATGATCGGTTTATAAAATACAGTCTACTTTCGTAGATTTTCTATCTCCACTACTGTCTAGAATACTGTATAATGACCATTTGAGGAGCAAAGCTCGAAATCATCTTCAAAGCGCTGATGAAACCAAAGACCTTGAACAAATCGCTTGTTGTTATATATACACAATATTTTCTTCAAAAATCTGGTTTTTATGACAAACCAAAGGAACCAAGTTTGGTATATTCCATACAAATACGAAACATAAAGAATGAGATGAGGGGCGGTGAGAAGTGTTGGGGGCACTTGCCCCCATTCAAACCCAAAGAAATTTACTTATACAATAATCATAATTTATTAAGGGGCTTTTTAAATTGTGGTTTTTTTTAATTAATCTGGATATCTAACCCGTTATGCAAGCTGACTAATCCTAGAGTGATCACCTGCTTTGCAAATAGTCCAGAGTCATCGCATTTGAACCCTTCGTGGCCACAATGGGATTTTTATTTCTTTTTGGATTTGAACCTGGGACCTCCAGGTACTTTTGACCTTTGAAGTCAAGTTCAAACCGATCAGACACCACCCTTGTGGTTATTTTTTGTTTTTTTTTTTTCTCAATATTTTCAAACTTGAAATGGATTTTCTATTTTATTAACCGGGTTTTCTTGGTGTTTTTTTCCCCTTAATATTTCTTATTTTTGTAATCAATTTTCTATATATTTCTGTTATTTAGTTTCGGAAATAATAATAAAAACAAACTAAATAATATATCCATATTCAACTAAACGACCCTTTAATTCGAAAACC